GCTGTAGGTTACTCTTGGAAATGCCTGTGCCAGCGGTAAGTTCACTGAATCAGGGGAGTGTTGCAGTCTGTGCCCTCCTGGGTTTGAAGTGAAGGTAGAATGTGGGAAAAAGGACACCACATGTGCACCGTGCCCAGAGGGTAAGCACTTATAATCTAATGTTACTACTCTGATTCAGCGTGTTTCAAGTGCCTCATCATTTTCTTCACCCAGTTTGATGCAGAGTTTGTAATCTTTCCCATAGGCAGATTTTCCTCATCCGAAGACCTTGGCTCTTGCCTTCCATGTGCTAGGTGTCCACACAGTATTCCCACTTTCTCTCCATGCTCTGCCACTCAGAACACACAGTGTGAATGTGACAACGGCTTCTTCTTTTTGAGCTCGTACAGCTTGTGCGCACCTTGCTCCACATGCAATCGCGGCGAGGGGGTTGTACGGCAGTGTGGCCCTATGGGAGACACTGTGTGCGCCACCTGCGGCCCTGGAACCTTCTCGGAGGCGGTTCGTCCCACAGGTCCCTGTCAGCCTTGCGCTCGGTGCTCTGAAAATGAGGTGGAGATCCGTTCCTGCCTGCCCCTCTCTGACACAGTCTGCATGGGTGAGCTTTATTTAGACTCAGTAAATAAAATGCATAAAATGACAGAGGGAAAGAAAAACTCCCTTTTAACAAGAATAAACCAAGAACCATGAATAATCATGGGGGAGGCTTTTATCAGCTGTAAAAGTTATTAAAATAAATTATATTTTAAATTATAAATTATCCAGTGGGTCGATTGGGGTCTTGATTATATAACTGGCTGATAATAGGAAAATACAGAATAGTGAGAGCTTTATCCTTTAAAGATCTGATGCAGGCAATAGTGCATAAAAAAGATGAAAGAGAGAGCTGAAGGGAAGGGGGAGACAAGCAGCGGAAGAGTCTCTGAAAAAATGAGGACATGTGGTCAACATCTGCATCTACGCTTCACTTTGTAACACTGTGAGTTGGGAAACATGAGTTGTGAAAAAGAGCCCACTTAAGTGCTGTAGTCCAATTGATATGAGCTTGACAGGTCTTTAGGTTAACTGTCTCAAAAACCTGAAGGTCAAGCGAGGCTGCTGACCCTGACAGCAAGTCTGCTCGCTCCCAAATGGCTACACCCGCTCTCCAGGAGTTAGGTCATCTGTGCACACCGTGGGTCCATAAGTCATGACTCTTTGACCTCTCGTGGGTCAGCACAGTACGATATACTGTTTGATCCCAAAATAGGCAGACGGCAGGAGGGAGAATCAGGCTGGAAACGGGGGCAATGAAAGGTCTGAAAACCTCAGGGGAGTGGGATAGCTGAGGCTATCATTACATCTGGCCCTAATTTATGGTGTGCAAATGTGTTCTGATGTGCAAAATGTGCACATGCAATGCTCCTCACTGTGGCGCATGTCCATCTCCTAATCTTCACAGAGAAGAACCTGCACATTATCTCCGGTCGCCCCGATCAAACCGATGCTCCTCGGTGGCCTGGCGTAGAGGTGGTAACGGAGGACGGGAAGACCAGTCCTGCTCCTGGAACGACTGATTTAACCACACAGGAAGAGAGCGGCAACAGCCACATTCTTGTATATGTGTCTGTTCTGGCTGCTGTGGTGCTGGGCTTGCTTATTTATGTGGCTTATAAATGGTAGGTTTTCGCTGAAGAAGGGCCCTAATTTTGAAATGTGCATAAGAATGTGTACATATTCCCCCAGTGATTAAAAATAGGACCTAATGGGTAATTAACTATCATTGTTTTTACTGTGGTCTTTACAGCTGGAGGTCATGTAAACAGAAGAAGGCGCTCTCTAAGGCCCGTGCAGCAGAGTTGGGAACATCTCCAGAAGGAGAGAAGCTTCAGAGCGACAGTGGTGTTTTTCTGGATTCTTACAGCCTACAGGACAACCAGCCCAGCAAAGGTATGATAGCCACAGATGCTATGAAACTAAATTAAACTGATTTCAAATGATTCAAGCTTTCTAAAAATGTTGCTAAAACATCTAGCAGCTCCCCAAGAGCAGTGGATAAAAAAACAAAACAACCTTTCCACCCATCGCGGGTTTTTGGGATGTCAATATAAATAATTTCAGAGCTTTTTCCATCTTTAATATGACGAATAACCTCTGCAATTCAAATGAGAAGCAAACTGCTTAATGTGTAGTGTGTTTGTATAAGAGTGCACACCCTCATATAACTGAGGATTAACCAAAATCAACCGATTTTGTTAAACTAATCTGGTCACGGCAAAAAGGGCCACTGAGAGTTTACAAATTGTCAAATTGCTGAAAGGTATCAGTCAGGAGAAGGGTACAACAGAATTCCCAAGGTATTAAATATACCATTGAGCACAATGGAGACAGTCATCAACGAGTGGAAATAATATGGCACAACAGTGACTTTATCAAGAACTGGACACCCCTCAAAAACTGATGAAGAGATAACAAGAAAACTGGTCGGGGAGGCTGCCAAGAGGCCTGTAGAGACATTAAAGGAGCTGCAGGAAGTTCTGGCAAGATCTGGTTGTGTACTGCATGTGACAACAATCTTCATATTCTTCATATGTCTGTGCTATGTGGTAGGGTGGCAACACAGAAGCCTTTTCTTGCAGAGAAAAATACCCAAGCCTTGCTAGTTTTCCAGAACAAAATACATCCGGTCTTCCTAAAAGCATGTGGTAAAATGACAAGACTGGACTTTTTTGCCGTAAAAGTTGTTATGCACATCACCAAAAGAGCACAATAGCTACGCTGAAGCATGGCAGCAGCAGCATCATGCTTCAGCTGGAATGTCATCTTTCATCACAACAATGACCCGTAGCATACATCCAGATCAACAAAAGAATTACTTCAGCAGGGGAAGATTAAAATTTTGGACGTGCCCGACATCTATGAACACACCAGGAAATCTGTGGGCGGATGTGAAGACAGCTGTGCACAGGAGACAACGCGAGGGAGGGTGAAGACATGTCATGCTGATAGAGTTCTACCTAAAAAGACTAGATGGTGTTTTAAAATAAGAAGTCACAGAAGCAAAGTATTAGGTTAAGGGTGTACATATTTATGCAACCAGGTTGACAGTTTTTAAGGTTTTAAGTAACAATAACAATGCTTGACTTTAAGTAAGTAAGTAAACTTTATTTACTAAGCGCTTTTCACAGACAGACAATCACAAAGCGCTGTACACAAATATTAAAATAAACAGTAAAATCAATAAACATTATATACAATGTAAAAGATCAAATGTAAATAATGTAAAAATATAAAATATGTAGATCAACAAAAGGCTTGTTTGAACAGAAGAGTTTTTAACTGTTTTTTAAAAGAATCCACAGAGTCAAGCAAACGTAATTGTAGTGGTAAACTGTTCCACAGCCTTGGTGCAACAGACTGAAAGGCTCTGTCCCTTTTTGTCTTTAATGATGAGAAGAAGGCCAAAGGGTAATGTTTATTGTTGTTTCTCCCACGCTTTTGGAATTTTAGTTCATTCCTCATGACCAAACACTTTCAGCTCATGCTGCTTTCTTTAAAAGCCTGAAAAGTATTTTCAGTGCCTCTAAATGAGCAGGACAATACGCCAAGGAATGATTTCTTGCTGGAAAGTCGAGCAATTACAGTTTATCCACTCAGCTCATTGTGTTATTCTTTTAAATGACGTGGTGCCTCAGACAATCCAAGACATCAGTCATATGTTATTATCTCAGCTGTTGTTTTTAAACATCTGATTCTTCTTGGCGAAACCTTTCCTCCATGCCCAGGGACGTTTGCTGCTTTACCGATGAGTTTTTAAAGTTCTGCATGATGCCGCCTGCCGTGTCTCTTGGAAGTTGACGTGCCTTGAAAATCCTTTTTAAATCACATGTGTGTTTGGTCTAACCTCCTCTGTTTTTGAGACAACTCCATGAGCTTTGCCGCGTTTATTGGTTAGCTTGGAAACTTCCACAGGAGGAGTTTCATTTTCAAGTTCATCCATTATTACTATTTTATTATAATAAAATGCAACTGTATTTTGCAGGGGTTGATTTAAGAAAAGCGATATTTGATTGGGGTCGAATATATATGAAAGCAAGTTCAAAAAGTTATATTATAACCATACATGGTTTGTCTGCAGACTGATGTCTGGCAGACAAGCCGTGTTTTGCATTGTGGCTTTCAGAAACTAACACTAAAACTAAACAAAGTCTCTTTGTTTGGATGAAATCTCTGTATCACCTTTAAGTTTTCAGTGTTTTCCACAACAACTGTAAACTTCCTAATTTAGGAATAATTAACTTGGTTTTTCTAAAAGGACACAATTATTCCAGCGCCCATGTTTGTGGTATTTTTATAGCTTTTGATAATATACTGTAAGCACTGCTACTGCTTTTCGGACAGATGTGGTAACTTTGGTTGGATTTTGTTTTCACAGGTAACATGAGAGACAAGCAGGACAGCCGTCTTTACACGAACCTACCTCCACAAAGACAGGAAGAGGTGGAGCGCCTCCTGCAAGAAGGAAGCGGCCGAGGCTGGAGGCACCTTGGCGCGGCGCTGGGTTATGAGCCTGAACAGCTGGATCTGTTCGAGCGGGGAGAGGCCCCGGCCCACACACTCCTCTCTAACTGGGCCCAGAAAGAAGGCTCCACTCTGGGACTGCTGTGCTCTGCACTGGCCCGCATCGAGAGGCCCGACATAGTAACAGCTCTTAACTGTCCCGTGCAGGGGGTGTCCGTGGTCTGACAACTTCTCGATCCTACGTGTGAAATTCAGAGACTCGGGTGAAAAACTCTGACATGATGAGAGGTACTCTGATATCACCACCTCTGCCACTGATGGGTTTTTTAATCTTTTTTTTTTTTTCACCTTCTGAACCTTTACTCCAGTTTATGTCACCACTTGATTGTACATTGCTCTAACTGCATGACTGATTCTCCTGTTAATGTGTCCTATCAACACATAAGCAGGACGCTAACGGTATAAACTGTTGTATATCTCATCACTGCAACTGATGCTACCAGTGAGAGAACAACCTGATCATCTGGGATGACGTGGAAAGATCTCCTCTCACACAACAATAAGAGCATTTACAGTGTTGTTTATACGCGCACACTACTACATCTTGTAAATATTTAGCTAGTGGCAGGAAGCGAAATAACATGTTTACATGTTGCATGAGTTTTATTATTCAGAGACATCATAAATTAGATCCATCCCCATGTAAAAAAACCTCCAAATATATATTCATATATATATATATATATATGTATCCCGCCCCACGCTGTTGTACAAATGCACACAGGTTACGTCATCATGTTTTTAGCATGGCTAGCCTTTTTGTTATGACTCACAACTGAAGCAACCACTATGGTACAGCTGATTTTGGCATGTTTTTTGCCTGTCCAGTATGATGTGGCTTTCCCTAATGGGGATCATTTGTGTGCAGATGGGGAGGGTTTAATGGGTATGTGGTCGGATTTCTTCAGGAGAACGTCAAGGTCATATCTCTGTAATTGTCCCCATTATTGCTTGTAGTTTATATTTTTTATAAGAACACTTTTATCTTGTATGTAGATAGGAACTGCTCACTAGATTGTTTGTTAAAAGTTATTACCTATTCTGTTGGGTTTTTTTAATCTTTTTTTTTTCCTGCTGCAGCCACAAAGTAGCTGTGGTCATTTACACTGAGGAAATATCAAGCACCGTCAGATCTAACCAGAGAACACGAGAAAAGAAGCATTCTGCTAAACAACTTTCTTAGCGCTTTCTGAAAGTCATCATTTAATTGTAAACGCTTTAAATGTTAAGGGGTTGGCAAAGTCCTGGATTAAAGTGGAAATTTGTGAAGATGCAGATGGAATTTTCCATTTTACAATGTAGAAAAAGTTCTCAACATTAATCCTTGTGTTCAGCTTGACACCTTGTTTTTGTATTTATTTTAACACCACTTCAAGTCTGAAAGTAAATAAAACCTATGAGATATCTGCGGTGGCCTAGTTGTCATTTAACAAATACACTTACAGCCACTTTGTTAGGTATAACTGTTTAGTGAAAAAGTAGCTAATCAGCCAATTTCAGAAAATGCTGATTTGCTGGGATTTTAACCACAGAGTTCACAGAGACTGGTCTAAAAGGAGAAAATATCCAGTGAGCGACGGTTTTCTGGGCGAAAACGCCTCGTTTGATGTCAGAGGTCAGAGGAGAATGGCCAGACTGCTTTCAGCTGACAGGAAGGCAACAGTAACAAGATAACCGCTCATTACAACCAAGGTATGCAGAAGAGCATCTCTGAATCCACAACATGTTGAACCTTGAGCTGCAGAAGGCCTCTCCAGTCAGCTAAGAACAGGAAACTGAGCTCTGAAGGCAAAATGAGGTCTATTTCAGTACTCACTACCTGTAACTAATGAATTGGCAAGCAAGTCTAACTTTGATGCTTTTTGTGGAATTACAAATCAAGTGTAGCATTATACAGATGATGAAACACCAGTCTTTATGCTGCAGATCTGCTACAATCAGCCTGGGGAACTTGCACCTTTTATTTAGTTTCTCGAGGCTAAGTGATTATTTAGAAACTCGTTAAAAACAAAAAAAAAGAAAAAGAAGCAGAATTACAATTTAAAGTTACAATCAGAACAAATGTTAATAAGTTTTAAAAGGGCCTTAAACATGAAGCACAGAAATGAAGAACAGATGAAATATGTAAAAGTGATGACAAAAGAGCACAGCTGACAAGAGATTCGACAGGCCTCATTAGTTTCACACAGTATAGTTTAATTTTCATCTTTTTGTCATCTTCCCAAAGGCCCAAACAGTTCTGGCATTGTTTATGTAATAATGATACAGTGTTTTATGACCGTCTAGTGAAAGGCAACAGTGAACAGTTGTATTTGCACCAAATGAAAAGTCTTTTTCTTTTTAGGTTTACGGAAATAAGACATTTATTGCTAAAGAACCACAGTCCCATAAACCTACGTCTATCATCTTTAGTCAAAGTATAAAACTCATCTGATGGGTTAGAGTAACAAAGTTTGGACATGGAATAAACTACTTCTCTTCAAGGGATTTAGTGTATGAGGACGTTTCCTGTCCAAAACCCTGAGGGGAAATCATTTAAGAGGTATTTAATAATTTGAGGGCGAAACCAAAATAATCTTAAATCTTCTGGAGGAGCAGTTTTCTGTTTCTCACTGAGACACCATCTCTCATTCCTCCTCCCCTTCTGCCGTGAACTCGGATCTGTTAATGATCTCTTTGCCTACAGTACTAAGTGGGAGCAGGCATCGTGCATGGCCTAGAGCAGCGTTACATGCCGTCACACACTCCAGAAGGGACTGCTTAACTGCGGTCTGGAGCACACGGGCATGAGGCTGCGGAATGTGCATACACTGGAAAGGGGGTGGGGTGGGGTTGGGACCCAGAAGAGAGAGGGGAAGCACAGCAGCGCCTCTTTCTACTCCTCACAGGTCTCCATATTTAGAGCACACTGAATGTCTCTAATGAAGGCAGTCCATACTTTTTTTCCTTTTAGCGGAGCCGAACATCTGGCTCAGTGCTGTGCGAAAGTGCCGTAGTGGCATTCGTGCCATGTGCACCCTTTATTAGAGGCGGGAGCAGATCTAAAAATGGGATTGGGTGTGCACGACGCAGTTAATCATGAAGCACAAGGCAGTCACATTTGCTTAGAGATATTCTGGTCTATTTAATTGATGCTCAAACGAACCTAACTGAACTGCACCGCAGGAAAAAAATGTGATGTGATTTTACAAAAAAAGGTTTATTATCTTTAAAATGTTTTTACACTCGGTATGACAATGTGCTTACACAATACTTACAGTAGAGTTGGGTGAAATTTAATTTGTACATAGAAAAATAATAATTAAAAAAAAGAAACACCACCAACAATAACAACTAAAAAACAAAACACATGAACATCTCCCTGGCCACTTCATTAAAATTAATTGGCTGTGAGTCAGTGGGCTCCTAAGTTTCACTGACTGATATGGGAACTGCATCAGGAGGACTAAGCTGGTGAGGATGGGTGGGCTCACTGTGCTCCATCACCCTACTCTCCTTCATACAGCTTTGGTAATTTTACACAATATTTACACTTTTAATCACCAAATCATATTCCATTTACAAAGTGTCTGCTTAATTAAGCATTCCAAAAAACTATTATTCAGTATATTCACATATAAAGCAATGTACATATGTTGGAATTCTTTTTAATGCAATTTTATGCGATGTAAAATCGATGACCTAATGCTAAAGAAACAACTTTTAGTGCCAACTGTAAAAATCTCAGAAATTAATGAGCGACAGTTTGTCGACCAAAGTGTCTCAAATGTCTTGCTAGGACTAAGAGTGGTAAAAAGACTGAACACGTGGGATGTTTAGAAACGGTTAAAACTGCAATGCTACAACCTTCGTTCTCAGAATCATTCCTGCAGGAAGAGGAAATCGGGCAGAACAAGTTGAGGAAGTGGGGCCGGACAAGAAACGAGGGGGTGGGGAAGTAACTGGACACACACCTAAACAGCATGTCAAACATAGCATTCAAACCCTGCTCCCGTTATCACACATTAACTGATAAAAGTCAAGAAAAGATTGACCGCTAACTTCTTTTCGCCAGCCTGATTGCCACCGATTGATCCCTCAGTATACCGTGAGCAAAAAGCTCATCCCCGTGAGGGAAGATTACTTGAAGTAAGAAGACGTGGAAAATGTAGGGATTTCCATAAGGATCACTCTGACCTCAGGTTACATCATGCATTCATAAAACAACAGAGGCTCCAAAGTCTTGTGGTTAAGAAGGCAGGGTTTGCAGGAGTGGAAGCTTGGAGCTCCACAGCCCATTTAAAAGCAGCACCAGATATGGTCAGTGGCAGGGGGGCTGAAGCGTGTACAGAGGGGGGAGAAAAGGAGGCTGGGGAGGGAGAACTCGACTGTTCGGCACGGATCCTTTTTTTTTTTTTTTTTAAACAGTGGAAAGTAACAACAAAACTTTGATAAATGTGATACCAAAGCTGATTCCTGTGAATGATCCTCATTCAGGGATATAACAGTTTAAAAACTGGAATTGAGGTGATCATCTGAGGAACTTTTAAGAGCCGCAAATGAAAAAAACAAAAACGCTAAAAAATAAAACAGTCAGTGAAAACAGTCTCTGTAGCACCCCTCAGTGTCATCGTCTGAGAACACTGCACCTGGAGTCTTGGGTTGGTCATCAACAACCAAGTCTCCCAGAGTCCGTATATCAGGGCTCCTGTGTGATCCGCAGGGCCTGGAGAACTTCAGCAGTGCAATTCGTAGACATAAATAGAAATAAAGAAACTACTTCACTGTTCAGGCTGGACAGTTCGTACATGTGGGAGTGAATGGAAAGGCAAATCTGTGCTTCTCCTGTGTTAGCGCAGAGCAAAGTGTAACATCTGTGGCCTGAAATGCTTCAATACACCTCTGTGTCCTCCTTGGGTCTGTACACGGCGCCAAATCGTTGCATGTACTTTTTGATGTATTCCTTGGTCTTGTGCTTCACATTTTCATTGCACTCGAGGTCCTCGGGATTCTTGCAAGCTTTCAACTCCTTATTCATAACTCCATGAGTTAGCTAGAAGACAGAGCAGAAGTGAGGAAAGAGTTAGGCATTCATTCTTGCCCTCAAGTCTACAATAAACTGATATTGAAGTTGCGGTAGAGTGGTTAATCCCCTTTAGTGACTTTGCTCTTTATAATTTGACATAATACAATGCTGCAGTCTTTAAATGGGTGAAGCCTAAGTCGACTTTCTGTTTACTGCGTCCATGTCCTCAGAGTCCTGGTATGTTTGAGTGGCAAACCACTCGCATGCACTATCCATGGACCTACTGAGAATCATAATGGAAAAAAAAAAAACCACCGCCCTTTGAAGAGATACTGGTTGAAAACAGCTTTTGAGAAGGAGCTAAAACAAAAGAGACAGTGAAAATAGCTAGCATGTACAACTTCTGTTCTGGAGGCAGAACACAAAAACATCTGGCTGGATGCCGAAATCGTGGGAGTTTAATTATTTAGTAATACTTTGAAGGAAACTTTGAAAACTTTGTTTACATTAAATGCTGACCAGCACCCTCACTGTGCCGTGACCACACTAGGAAAGAAAGAAAAGTTTGCCAGGACTTTGTGGAAAACTTCATCCATGTATGAACACGGTTACCTTTCTAGCCAGGTGTTTGAAGTCTTCTGTGTTGCTGATGCGTCCAGATTTGCAGTCTGGCTTTCGATAAGGATTCAAGCATTGCACTATGAACTGTGACATCTGATTAACAAACAGGTATAAAGTTAAGTAATGTACAGAATTAAAAAAACAAAAACAAAACATAAATGGCTGGACAGATTCACCACCATGCAGAAGTGCAGACACTGTATATATGTTTAAAAAAGAAGTTAAAAACATTGCTCTTAACACAGTTTGTGGAAACTTTGACTCACCTCCTTGCGAAAGGTCTCTTTACTTTTCTTAGCGAGTTCACTGGAAGTGTCTGCTTCAGCCGTCTTTGTGGAAAACTGCAACGTCATCATAAGAGAAACTCATTAACAGGCTTGTTTGCGGACAAATATAACTTTGAAATGTTGCAGACCAGAATTAGCACGCCACTTTGCAAACTGATTTTTCTATGCTACAAACCCAACCCTAGCTTAGCTTAATTAAAACATTCCTACAAGTTGCGATGACAGCTACTGAGGTCAGCAGGGAGTAAATGCAGCACCTGTTCACCAGCTATTTGAAACAACGCAGGGATATCCTGCCAGGGTGCTGCTTCCTCTCTGGCCGCAGCCTTCCACAGCAAAGCCAAGCAGGCAGCAGTTAACTGCCTACACCCACTACGAAGTGGTGAGCATCAAGAACAAGCGTAAAGGATTCACACACAGAGGAGGAATCCAGACAGTGAGACAGAATGCTTCGCAAGGCTAAAGCATGTGTCATAGTTTTGAGCCCTGGA